AGCTTCGGAAATACAGTCCAGCCCAGTTTCTCAAACCTTAGTGCAGCGCCCTTTGGGGCTTCTTGATCTCCTTCAAAGTAAAAGAAGAGCTAGCAGTTAATTCCAGTCTGTGTAAACATTTCCTGCCGCACCCCAGCAGTCCGGGGTAGTTAACCCTTCCAGAGTTGCTATAAGCTCTCACATCCTGTTTCTACATCTTTATTCCTGCAGGAGGAACTGGTCATGATTTTGAGCAACTGTGGCTGCGCTGTTTTTATGGTACTTCTCTAAGTTTTGAAAGTAAAGGCTTCTTGAGGCTCTGCAAGCCCTTCCTGCAAGAGGCCTACAGTCCACAGTGCAAGGAGAAACTAGTTTTTCAGATCCTATAAAATTAATATGGAACTGCCTGGAAAAGCATTGTCAGGGAACTGGACAGTGGCTCACTGTTCAGCTGAAAGGATTTATCAAGTAAATTCCTTGTCTTGGCTTGGTTAATGGAATCGAGAATGTGCTTATTGAATTTGCAGATGGTACGGAGCTGGGAATGGATTCGAGAGCTTTGAAGAGCCGGATTAGAATCAAAGCAAACATGACACATTGACCAAATGGTCTGGAAGAAATATGATGCAGTTCAATAAGGAGAAATGCAGAGCTACACTTAGGTGAGGAGAGTCGATTGCATGAGAATGGAATGGAAGGAGATGGTCCAGGCTGTGTCCTGCAGAAAGATGTGGTGAACAGCAAGCTCCATCTGAGACCTAATGCTCATGGTGGGGCTGATGGCGTCAGGGTCGTCCCTCCGCTCCCAGCTCCAGGCCTGTGTGAGCTGGCAACTTGTGATCCAGTGTTTCAGCCTCAAAAGCAGTATGAGTTTTGGGGAAGGAGTAGGCATCTTCAGCTGGGTTTCATGTGAGGTTTTCCCTTTGTCTGCATTTGTGCCTTTGGAGCTGGAATTCAGAATTGTTCCCTAGGCTTGAAATCAAGATATTCCACCCCCTGCATTGGGCAAGCCATACAGAAAACTTCTAGTGGCACTGATTGTCATCCACCAGGTTTAACTGAGTGCTCCCACAAAGTTAGGTTCTTCATTTTGGCTAGCCAAAAATCTTTTACTGCAGTTGGTTTCATGCTCGTGATGCTTGGTGGTTGCTGTCCAGAGTGCAGCATCAGGTTGCTGGTGCTCAATACAGCTTGCACAAAAGACACCTTGTGCAGCTCCTCTGTGGTGTTTCCTTCTCAGGAGGTGGTTCTTCAGCTTTCTGCAGGTGTTGGAACTCAAGATTTTCCTTGGCAGGTGCTTGTTAAATCTCCAAGACTTGCAAAATACTCCTCAGAAAGCATATCAGGAGAAGGAGGTGAACAGAATGGCCTCAGAGCTTTCCTTTTGGTTTCCAAGAGGAATTCTGGGGTAGTATCTGTGGTATTGTGTAACTTCATTGTGATTTGTCTTCTCTGAGTTTCTGTTTACGAGATGAGTTAAACTAAATGTGTGGTTTTAAACTTGCTGTGTAGCATTGATACTCATAGCTTAAAACAAGTCGTTTTGATATCGATTACATTGAAAACAAGCTAGCCTGCATAATCTGCTTTTGTCTGCTGTAGTGACCATCAAAGGATTTTATGGATTCAACTCGGAACCCTGCATCATTTTAAATTAATTTTTGTTAACCCTGTGCCATATCTGCATGTGGACAAAGCCTAATTTATATGCACAACAGGGCCTAAGAAGCAGACACTGACTTTAGTCTAGACCCTGCTTTATTACGTGATTTTCTTTATGTATGCTGTTGCCTCCTCCTCTCCTCTCCATTCTGTCTTTTGTCAGTAACTGCTTTCAATTATCAATTTTTTCCTTGTCTTTCTGCACTCACTTGTTAGCACCCCATGACATTTCCCAGCACAGGGTCATTTCTCTAACAAACCCAGCTTCTGTCTGACTGGACTGAGCTATTTATTCCCAGTTTGGGCAGTTGGTCCTCCTGGAGGAGGAGACTCTGGCACCAGACTGCCCTGAATCGAGGCGTGAAGATGGCAGCTCTCTCTGTGCAGGTGAAGGCAGCGGAGTCTGCTCTGTTCTTGTTTTCAGCCCGCGACAGTCCCTGGGAAGGAATATAGCTATTGAGTTACTGTAGCAGCCTGTTTGCCACAACCTGATTTCTGAATGCTCACCGCTTCCTGCCAGAACACAAGCTCGTTGCCTCGAGTTACCTTGGGAGAGCAAACAGCACAACCTCAAATTGTCCCAGCTTTGATGTTTTGACTCCTCTGCCCCTGTGACTGTTGGGGCTCCTGTTCTTTCTTGCATGCTATCCACCAGGGCAGCAGCTTCCTGCATCTGCTGAGAGCTCCATTTATCTACAAACTCCCAAGTGATTAATTTAATTTCATTTAAAAAAACCCAACCAAAAAAAAAAAACCAACAACCCTCAAAACAAAAAAAATGCCAGACAACGTGCTTTCTCCTGGCTCTGGGAATTCTTGCTTGAACATGGGACCCCTTCGTTTGGGAAGAGGCCAAGCTGGATGGCAGTTCCCAGCTATGAATCCTCCGTTTGTAGGGTGCCTGGCCGCCGCACACTGCCCCGGAAGAGGCACCGTGGATGTTTGTGGAAGCGATGGCCAAGTGGCTGTGAGACCCGGGCGGCTAGAACAGTGGGTGTATTATAGCTGAAAAAGGCAATTTCTCTGCCAAATCTCATTGTGCAAGAGGGTTTATTCTTCGCCTTGCAAAGATTTTGCTTTGGTGGTTCCTTTTTCGCTTGCTCTCTGAGACTTGGGAAAGAGGCTGTAGGACTGCAATGGAAAATGAGCGTTCAGCTCATCTGACTTGCGTTACCAGGACGGAGCTCTGCTGCGCTCAGACGTCCGGCTTGCATGAAAGCTACCAGCTGGCTTCCCGTTCCTGTTTCATGTGTTAGTTTTCCCTGCTTTTCTTATGCTTTGAACACTTTTTGACATATAATCTAGCTTGGTAAACTGTGCTGTGCAGCAGTGTTGTGTAGTGCCAGGAAGAAAACACGGGGCTGGCTTTGGATGTAACACTAAATAAGGTATTTCCTTCCATTTCCCACAGAAGAAAAGAAACATCTGTGTGGAGAGGCACATTCTTGTAACAACGGTGGGTTTAGGGTGCAGAATTTTCTCAGAGCATTATTATGAAACAATTAATGGAGGTTTGGTTAAAGACCACGTAGACCCTGTGAAATAAAATACCTTTCCATGTGGAGCTGCTTTTCCCGACTGCCAGGAACACCTCCCTTCCTGTTCTTGGAAAACAAGGGCCTGGCTAGAAGGCTGAGCTAACCGAGCTGACGTCCTCCAAGAAATGTTAAAAGGCATTGTGGTTAATGTGCTGCAGGATATTGTATCATCGGCTTCTGTAATTCCTTGCCTGGCTGAAATAGCCTTCCAGCTGCAGGATGAAGCTATCCAGAGGCTGTCACGGAGGTGACTGGAGAATATTCCTCTAGGCTTGGGAGTGCAGGAGACCTGAAAAAGTGTGTAAATCTGTCTCCTGTTTGTGTTTGCTTCCTACTTAAATTGGAGGGTGAAGAGTTGCAGATGGGGCTGATCTGCTGGCTATCAACCGTTGCGTGGAAGCCAGCGAAGCAGGCGATATCTTTAGCTGATAGCAGAATATGGCCAAATGCTTGAGAATGGGGAGGAGGAGGAGAATGCAGAGGACAGAGTCCCCTCCTGTGGACCAGAAGTCCCTGCCAGCACACTGGCCTGGATGTGTGCTGCCTTTGCTTCTTCATTTTTTGACCTATTGCAGCAAACTTAATAATTGTTGTTTCTCTTAAAAGAGCTGTCTTCTGTGGCCGCTGTCTGCTGCCTTCGTGGTTCTTCCTTTCCCCTCCCACAACACAAAGCTCCCACAGCGTTGCAGCCACACTGTTTTCCCTGTGTGCCTGCTCTTCCTCTGCGCTGGTTCTGTCTTGCCTGCGTAGATACGTCCCGCAGGGCTGAAACTGTCTGTTGCTCTGTTGGTAACAGCAGTTGCCTTGCTGAGGCCCTCGGGTGCTGCTGTAATAAGTGTTATTATGGATAACAGACTAGGGAGGGACTGCTGGCTTGATCTGCCTCGGAGACGGCAGCTCGCAGCCCTGGGCTGAGCCGGGAAGCTGCAGAGCTCCTCCCTTGCCAGGCATGAAACCTAGGGCTGATCGCTGGCAGGGTGCTCTCTTGAAAGGTGACAGGCGTCTTCTTCCTTGAATCAAAGATATGAAAATCCAGACAGCATCTTCCAGCTTCACGGGGTCATATCTTAAATGTGCCAGCGCAGTTCCGGAGGCTGCTTGAACTCCGGGCGCAGCCAGCTCTGTGATGGACCATCAGAGCCTCAGGCTTGCATGGGCCAGAGCTAGGAGATATTTTTGGGAAGCTCAAGAGTTCTCCCCTTCTCCATCACTGACCTGCCAGCTTTTTGGTGGGCTTAAGGATGTTTTGCAGTGTGGGGTGAGGGAAAGGAAATGGATTTTTCACATGGCCTTCCATGACAGAGCTGGTGCATCAGTTAATGATACTGAAGCACACACTTAAAACAATTCTGATTGCCAAAAGTGCTTAAACTGCTTAATAAAACTAAAATAAAATCCTGGTTTGAAATATAGCCACTTCCTGTGTGTTATTATTGGTCATACTGAATTATTACAAATGCTATTTTCCTATAAGAATTAAAAAAAAAAAAAAAAAGAGGTTTCCTTTAGGAAATTGCCATATGAAGCCCGTGGAGGTGAGGAAGAGTGTTGAGTTCCCCGGTGGCCGTCTGCATTATGGCTGACCAAAGGGTGTTCAAGGCCTGCTGTGGATCTTGGAAAGAGTTTTCTATGTTCATTATTTATCAGACACTGCAGGCATGCTTGGATTCTTCTGCAGAGCTTGGCTTGGTAGCAGCCGTTGCTGTAACGTGGCCGAGTTGAGGTGCTTCCCCTGCAGGGCTGGGCAGCCTTGTTATGAAGTTGTTCTGCTGGTGACTCAGGCTGGGGGCAGGTTCTTTCCTGGCTGAGAACAGGGTGTGATGTGTAATCCCTACATCTCTGTGCTTTCTGCTGTGCTGCAGGTGGCTGCTGTGGCTCTGATGTAAAGCAGTATGTATATGGAGGCTGGGCCTGGGCTTGGTGGTGCATTACTGACACCCAAAGGTAAGGAGAACCCCTATTATTCCTGGTTTTGGAGTAGGAGTTAGGCAAAACCATCCCAGTGGGGCTGTCAGCAGTATCTTTAGGATCATGGGCACTGCATATGGAGCCATGGATGAGCATCAGCCCACCCCGCTGCCTTAGGCTGTGACCAGCTCCCAGTCTGTCAGGGGAAAGCTGCACTGCAAGTGCCTGGAAGGAGCAAGATGTGCCCTGTGTGGTGCCTTGAAGCATAGGGTCACTCACAGCTGCACAGTTCCACCATCCTGTGCTCTGAGTGGTGGGGCTGAAGTTGTCCAGAGCCCTGCAGGAGGTAACCATGTCATTTCAGGCTTACCTGATGGTAAATGATGATGTACAAAATAAAATCACAGGATGGGGCAGTTCTGTGCTGACTACTTGCCTGGGGGCAGGTGGATATCGCAGTGCAAAAGACAGAAAAGAAAGCCCCTGCGTTCAGCTGATGTACTTTTCAAATGGCCTCTCTGTCCACACCTCTTCTCAAACCCAAGGTAATCACATTTTTTGTTTTTCTTACTTTTTTTCCTTTCTGCTTCTTTTTTATTTACATAAAACCCACCAAGCTGGAAGGGCCGTGGCCTGGCTGGTCAGTGTGTTTCTTCCTGTGCTGAGGAAGGCAAGAGCCCTGCTCTCCTCTGCTGCTGCCTTTGCAGTGCTGTGCAGCTACAAGGCTCTCGCAGAGGTGCTGGGCAGTGGGGCCGCCGGGCTGGCTCATCCATGAGTTCACAAGAGGAGTTGAGTTCTGCCCAGTATGGCCCAAACCCTTCCCCAGTAACAAACATTTGTGGCGTGCAGTGGGTCAGTGCCCCCTCTTGCTTCTCAAGTCTCTTTTTCTAAAGATACGCTGACTGCTGTCACCTCGGGAACAAACACTGTTCCTATTTAGAATCACAGGATTTCCTTTCTCTCCCTTTCATCAGTTGTGGATTTTGCTTGCTGCTTCTTACCACACTGGTCTCTGAATTAACATGCTGTGACAACGCTGCTGTCCTGCTAATGTAATGTAGCTCTTTGTCATTAGGATCTGTGGGAATGTTATTCTCTCCTAACACCTCCCTCATGCTCACCAATGCAGGTTTCTTCCATCTGTGTAAAAAAAATAATAGGGAAAAAGGATAAAGACGTGACTTTCGGGTTTTTGCACTGAGTGATGGCCAGAGGTTGTAGTTAACCCGTACTGCCTGATCTTGCCACCTCTTTTCCCTGTTCGCAGACAAAGCGAGCATGTTGCTGCCCTCACTCTGCAGATGACACGCTACCGTAGCTGCTGTTCACCTCAGAGCGCTTGCCTTGTTCGAAGGGGTCCTGGCTGCTGCTGGCGACTGAGTCACGACAGCTCTCGGGCCCTCTCCCGGGTGGTGGGTACTCAGGGTTGCTACAAGAGCCTACCGCAGTGCTCGGGCTGCATGAAGAGCTCTCGGCTAACACCTGCTGCTTTAGCCCGGGCTCTCCAGTGATGCTCGTGGGAGGGGAAGGAAAGACCCTGCTTGTGGGCTCAATGCTCAAGAACTGTGTTTGATCCAGACAAGCTTCATTCCTGAATTCTTGTGAGGCATCTTGTTGGGAAAGCTGTTGATTTGAACAAATGGTTTCTGCTCCTCCTCTTGTGTGAGAAGCTTGGAGAACAGCTCAGGACCTTGACCTGCCATGTTCAGGAGATAGCTGACGTGTTTGGGAGGCTGGCTTATTAAGTTAAGCAAAGGGTGAGTCCAGGGCCAAGAACTGCTTGCCAGGAATGAGCTGTCATATGATAGAGGTCTGTGCATTATTTAGCAAACGGGGCTCTTGACAAAAATGCCAGCACCCAAACAAATCTTTTTCTTTAAAATCTATAACCCCAGTTCATGCCATGGGATACGGGGCTTACTTCTCCTTTTGAGAACAGAGCCTTTCCCAAATACCATAAGCCGTGCCACAGATGGAGCCTGCTGCATTAACATGAAGAGTGAGGCAGATTTCCTCCTCTGAAATTAGGACATCTTTTCTGGAACTGCCAGTGCTGAAAGCAAGAGAGACAGCAGCAATTGTGTTGCTGTCAGCGGCATCCCGCCAGGTAGCACTAACCTGGGAACAAAAGGAACAGTTAGAGCTGGCAGGGTGCTGGGCTCTTATCCTGCTGCAACCTTGAGGACTGGAGGGAAAAAAAAAAAAAATTGAAAAAAATCCTGTCCCTGTTTAAGGGTCAGAAATAAAAGCAGCCAGAGAGGCATCACGGTCTTACATGCCTCTGGGGGAACCAAATGGTATTATTGAGCTTCTCAGGACAGCGCTTGGAAGCACCTTCTCTCATCAATGCCTTAGCCAGGGGTGGGTGGCCAAGTCCCTGGCATTTTCATTTTTGTGGCCTCTCTTAAATGCTGGCATAGAAGTATCTAAATTATTACAAAAAGGATTTTTCTGTGTGAAGATTATTCTAACAGAGAATTCCAGTTGACTCCAGGATGGCAGTCCAGGTGGGATACACGGTTCAGTTTCATCTGCGGTGACTTACGAGACACAGGGTGGAGACGAGCCCCCGGCCTGTTTATCCTCATTAAAAGAAGCAGTTAGATGCTGTAAACTCCCGGCTGCATCCAGGGAAGCTGCTCGGGCCCAGCGTTACGGAGCCCTGGGGGCGGGCAGCGGGAGAGAGTCAAACTGAACAGGGAAGAGCCAAAACCTGAAAGTCTCGTCTGTCCTTCGCGATGGGTGTCTTACTCTTTGATAACTGCTTTGTGTATTTGCTGTCCTACCCTTATTCCTTGCTGCTCAGACTGTCTTTGGAGGTTATGACCATCCTCTGTCGCTGTGAGAATATTGAGACGTCGGAGGGGGTCCCACTGTACGTAACAGGGGTTGCACAGGTAATAATCCACCAGCTTCCTAACATCATGTCTAACCGTTTGTCCCTCTGTTTTGAGCAGCAGCAACAGCAGCAGCAGCAGCAGGATAACATAAAAACTAATGGTTTTCTAATGGGACAGTTGAAATCTCAATACCCTCCTCTCCTTCCCCTTCTCCGGCACTTGCCCTGGCGCACACTCCACAGTTTATAGGTAATGCAGACAGATGCATACTTGGCAAATTCCAAATTCAGCATTGCTGTACTGGCTCCTTCTGATAACACTGCAGACATTTGCTCCAGCTGTAACCCTTTCCTTGACAGCACTGTGTGCTTGGTGGAGAGCAGAAGGGCATCTACTTTTGTGTGGAGCCACAAGCGGGCCAGTTTGAGTTCTGTACAGGATTTGGGGCAGGTGCGAAGGCAGGTTTTGTCCTGTTTCAAAAGGAAACCTGTACACATGTGGGGAAATTGCAACTGTACCTGGCTCTGCAGTTTTGGATATGGGTTTCCACTCAGCCCTTCTTCTTCCGCGTGGAGACAGTGCCCGTTTTGGATGTTGTCACGTTTGAAAGTACAGCATAGAGACCTCGGGTTGAGTTGCAACACACAGGATTAGTGTTTGCACTGTGAGCAGTTATGAACTGGTGTAGCATTAATTACCAAACAGCCCTGTGACTAAGAAGCAGCACAGTATTGAAATTAAATTCAAAGTATTGATTAGGTCTTCAGAAGGCTAAAATCCTGCACTAGCTAATTAAAGCTGTGAATGCATATGGCGAAAAATGCTTTTGCGTGTCTTGGACAGCAGGATCTGTTTTATCAGCTCCCAGTTTGTGTGCCAGTTTAATTAGGACAGTGGCCAAGGCAGGCGTGGACTTGCAGAGATGCGTTTTGTCCCTTCCAGCCAATCCTGGAGCGACTCGGCGTGCAGGCAGCAGCCCGGTGCGGCCCCTTCATGGTTCAGGTGTTTGACCTAATGTTCACTGACACAAGCTGTCTGCCCCGTGGCTCCCTGTCCTGCTTCCCAACGCTGGCTGACACAAGAGGCAGACTTTGCTTCCTGAAGCAGAACCTGCCACGGCCAAGCACGTCTCTTGTTTTATCAAGTCATGACCTGAGAATTGCCAGGTCTGACCGAAGTACCTCAAACCCACCTCAGGTGACTGAGAAAGCTCTGGACCTGCAGGATCTGTTCCTGGGTGCCTGATACTGTACAGGCATGGCCCTAAAGAGCTGCACACTCACTTTCATCCTCCTCTGGGTCACAGGACACCATAAAGACAAAGGGAGTAGGTCTGTGTTAATACTAACCCAGCGAGGGCAAAAGGCAGGGCTGCTTCTTGCAGCATCAGCGTTGGGTTTTGCCAAGCACCAGGGCTCTTGTGAGGGTGGCAGCGCGGGGCGGGCGGGAGCATCCCGGGTCCATGCTGTGCTTTTAAACCAGTGACACCAGCCAGCAAGAGCACGCGTTGGGCGGCGTGGCACAGCGAGCCTCTGAGGGAGGGCCCTTTGGGGTCCCAAAGCTGCTAGCTTCTGGCCACCTTGCTAGCCCAGCAGAAGGGAAAGGCTCGCTGTATCGTTTCCAGTCTGGCTCCAAGCCTTTCTCTGCTGATAAATTACCCTTAAACGTTATCTGAAAATCTATTTCTTTGCCAAAGTAACTTGTCTGTCTCCAGTCACAGATGTAGCTGCATTTTGTGCCTGTCTTGCATTACCTGTGATGAGTGCTGCAGGTAGCCCGGGGCAGGAGACGCAAAGGGAAGAGCTGAGTATGTGTTACCTGGAAACGTGCAAATATTTTACGTTTTTTGGCAGGATTTCCCTAGAGATAATGACGTTACAGCCCAGGTGTGAGGACGTAGAGACGGCGGAGGGGGTAGCTTTAACTGTCACAGGTGTGGCACAGGTACAGTAACTCCAAAACATTTCAGGAATGCATGTCTTTAACTTAACTCTGGTTTTTCCCTTTAAGAGGTTACTGTTGTCCAGGAACAGAAGCCAACTGCTCTGAAACAAATTTTTGTACAATCACACAGTCCTCATTGGTTCAAACACACTACAGCATGTCCCGTGTTTGTGAAGGGGGTTGTGACCTCTCCTCCTCTCACCAAAATCATTCCTCTTTTTCTTGTGTCTCATTTGTCCACGTGGCAAATGAGGTGTGTGTGGGTGACTTGAACTGTTTGTGAAATGCTGATGTACTGTGGTGTCCTTGGAGCTGTGTGTGTCCCTGCATCACTGAGCCATTCACTCCTGAGATGGTATTGAGCATTATGTTGCTTTGGATTATTATTATTAGCATGTGGACCTTGTAATTCTTCATGCTGAGTTAAAGCATAAAGAAAGAACTTAGTCCCTCCAGGCACTAAAATTTGGGTGTAAAATTTCTGGCTTGAATTGAATTTTGATTTTCTCAGGCCTTCTGGCTTTCACTTATGAAGCTCTTGCTGCTTGTGATAGTACACTTAAACACCAGCATTTCTTAGACTCTGAGGTCTGCTGCCCTGATATGGAGTTGGTCCTTGTGACCAGACCCTGCCTTGGGGAGGATGCTGAGAGGAAAATGTTGTTAGCTTTCAACAGAATTTGATTCCCCCAGATGGGCAGCTGGATGCTTGGGTTGAAAATTGCTCCTGACAGCTCATTCTGGGTGTATCAAACCAAGGCAGTGGTTCCCCCTGCGCGCAAGGCTGTGGTCACTCTGTGTCCTAAGACGTGTCCAGGTCTGTTGTTGCAGGAGAGGTGGCTGCCACATTCCCTGCAGTGAGCAGTGGAGCTGAGGGGAGCTGCTGAGTGACGCACTGATGTGACCAAAATCCCACATGCGTCAAAAGGCTCCCCCCAGGGAAGAGCACCATGGCTGCTGCAGCCCTTGTAAAGACCAAGCGCTTGACAGATTTTACCCAGTGCCTTCCAGAGCAGCGGATCCCTCCCTGGGTTCATTGGTTTGCTCTGAACTGACGTTGCAGAGGAGCTGTGCGCTGTGTCTGTGCATAAGCGAGGATGTGAATTCAGCCAGGAGCAGTTTCTGGGTTGTCACACATGGCAGAAGGGCTGGGCACAACCATGACTCAACAGCGGATAATCCATCGCCCTGCTGCTGTTGTGGAACATGGCTATGTGCAAGAGCACCAGCACGGGAGACGGCTTCTTGGGTTCCTCCTGGCTCTAATGGCATGAACCAGTCCCCTTGTTTCCAATTTTTCTATCATTTATATCCGTTTAGCTGCTAATGTGTCACATAACCACAGTGGTCTTTGCATGGTTGGCAAAATGCGTGCACTTGTGTCTCCCCTCACACACGCTTCATAAATATGTAGGCTTTTTCTTCTGTGTTTGAAAAAGGTATTTCTGTAAAACCAGCATTCCCTTTTTGACCTAGTTTTAGGTCATCCTTCTGTTGCCTGCAAAATGGTCTAGGCTAGGCAGCACATGCTAGCAGGAGGCTGGATCACCAGGTGCCTTGATTTAAAAATGCAGCTCCCCAACTCACCTCATTCATGTTATTCTCTCTTGTCACTGTTCATTTTTTTCACTGACAATTAATTTTAAAGGTTTAGGCTTGTGAGATGCAAGGAACTGCCATGCAGAAAGCAGGCTTGAGGCAGCTGGGGTTGTGCATGGCAGAGGTTACCTTAATTTTTAGAAGTACTTTTGAGGCAAACATTTTTCTTTGCTTTGCTTGTGCAAAAAAGGAAATAAACAGATTCTTTCTAGAGAAACACCTTTTAAAATGTTTGCCATAATACTAGAAGTGCTTAATGTGCATAAGGATGCTGTTCTTACTTTGAAGAGGGATGTAATGATTACTCACCAGTAGCCTCCTTCCTGTGTTGGCTGGGTGCTTGGGGTGTGCTGGGATGCTGCTGCCATAGGCCACGTGGGGCTCCTTATCCTTCCGTACCATTTTTCTGGTAGCCTCAGGCTAATTGGATTGTCTCTGCTCATCCCTTGCTGTGATTGCAGCTGGCTGGAGCTGGGTGCATCCGTATCGATCCTCCAGATGGGATTGTTTTATGGAGACTCTCTGATTTCCTGCCAGCTGAACTCTCTCTCTGATGCGAATGACATTTGAAGAAGCACCAAGTGTCGCAGTGCCCTGTCTGAAATGCTGGACACAAGCTGAGCGCAAATTGCTCAACTCTGTTGTGTTTTGTGCAACCTTTGGCGTTGTAGGTTGACATCCATATTCAGTGGATAGCCAGGCTCCTTTGGGCTGCCCAGGGTTGATGGGTGCAGGCAGGCTGCTGGCTGGCTTTATTCACAGAGGCTGAACCATTCCTTGCTCCTGTTAAGTACCGCAGGGACTCTCTAAACGAACATCCTGCTCCATGTCCTGACTGTCCTCTCTGTAGCTCCCAAAGGGTAGGGATTGTTTAGAGAGGTGGAATTGCTGGCAGATGCACACCATAAATGTTGCTGCTGGCTCTAATTGGTTTGGGTATTTGCGAAAACCTTCAGTTTGCCGCAAGATGAGCCTTGTGCAGGGCCCACGCTCCCGGGTGCAGCTGCAGGAGCAGCTCTCCCAACTCCCCCTTGTGTAGGAAGTGCACACTGCTGGCCTGGGGTGCAGGGACAAGAAGCCGTGGTGGCCCAGCCCTGGGCCCACAGAATTGCCATGCTTGACTGAGATTCAGTTTGGCATTTTGTCTGGGAGGCCCAGCCTAAGAAGCACAGGTAAGAAATAGGCTTAGCCCAGGTTGGTGTTTCTTCATGTGACTAAGGGTAGGGTTGTGGCAGCTGTGCCTTGGTCAGCTCAGCATGTCTGACACGGGCCACCTCTGGTCCCCTTCGAAGGTGGTGGCCAGTCCTCATTGCCTGCTGCTCTGGTGGTGCCAGGGCTGGGTGCCACTGTTAGGTTGGGGGATCATTTCAGACTTGTGGGCTATCAGACTTTCTCAGCTTTCTCAAGAAATAGTTGTGTTGCTTTTTCTAGCAGTCTGACCCTGAAAAGTGACCTTGTAGGTGTTGTGATAAGGTCTGTAGGCTGTGAACCCATCAAGAGCATGAACTGGGACCCTCGGAGGGCCCCTCTGCAGAACCTGAAGTTTTGGAGGTCTCTCTGAGTCAGGACCATGCTGGCATCACAGGTAGAGCGGCCCAGCCATGGCCCTTGGAGCAGGACACAGGGTGCCACCAACATCTCCTGGGGCAGGAGGCACTGCCCAGCCCAGACGTCTCCATGAGAGGGTGCTGTGGGACCCACTCAGCACCCAGAGGTCCCAGCAGAGCTGTGTGGCTGGTATGGCCCTGCTTCCTTCTCTGCTGCTGCCAGACACACGGATGTCCCTGTGTCCAGGCTTTGCCTGAGCCCTCAGACTGGACCTGGCCACCAGGAACTATGTCACCTTGGGTTGTAGCTCCTTATAGCTGGGTCCTGCAGAGCTCCATGAGCACACATCTCCACAGGGATTTTTAACCCACTTAAAAGGAGCTCCATGACCACCTAGGCCCATCTTAAAACCCGGGCTTGTCTGGACCTGGGAATGCTTTTATGCCTGGCTCTAAGTGTGGGAAGTGTGGCCATGTCCCACCTCTGGGGATCGTCACCAGACCGACCGTGCGGAGCGGGACAACAGGGTCCTGGCCACAGCACATTGGGGTCACTGCAAAGGGCAGCTGGGAGCTCCCAGCCACGGGCAGGACAGACCAGTGAGCTGCGGCCATCTTGTCTCATCTATCCTTGCAGGGAATGCCAAATGGAGCCTCTGTTCCCAAGCTGCTCCTTGGGCATTGCAGACTTTTCCTTGTTCTCTGCCTTTCAGAGAAATTAATTCTAGTGAAGGAGGAGGAAGAGAAAGGTAACAAAATGGCTTTTGCCCAGGGGTAGTAATAGAAAGCCCTCTCCTCCTAGGTCTGACATTGGTGCAGTGTCTGAGCTGGTAGTTCAAGGCTCTTTGATAGAGTTTTCATCAGGTGGGACTTGTAGGGCCATGCTCTGTCCCCACATCACCCAGTGGCCGCTGCTGCAGGACAGATGGCTGCAGGGAGCCCCTCTCCTCGCTGCGCTGCAGTCAGGGTGTGGGGAGGTGTCTGCCCCGGACCCTGGCGCTGCTGCCTGTGCCTGCAGCAGGGCCCTCCCCCAGCAGCAGCGAGTGGGGGGCTCCCTGGCTGCTCTGGTGGCCTGGGTCAGCGTGGTGACAGCTCAGCATGGTCCCTTGGAGCATCGGTAGCACGGGGGGCCTGGCAGCCTGGTGGTGGTACTGCTGCTTCTGCTGCTGCTGCTGCTGTTGGGTGCCTGTCCCTCTTCAGACAGGCACCTTCAGTCCCTTTGGTTTTGTCTCCTCTCTCTTAGGTGAAGATAATGACCGAGAAGGAGCTCCTGGCTGTGGCCTGTGAGCAATTCTTGGGGAAGAACGTGCAGGATGTGAAGAACGTGGTTCTTCAGACGCTGGAGGGGCATCTGCGCTCCATCCTAGGTGCGGAGGGGCTCATGCTCTTGAAGGCATCTCGAGTAGGTTTCTCCCTTCCCCGCTGGCTGGTCCCAGCAGTACTGCTGCCACTGCAGCAGCCACAGTGGGTGCTTCCTCTGCTGACTGCAGAGGTGACATCTTAGATTGTTCCTCCCTTGCAGCAGCTCCTGCCGTGTGGCTGGGTGTTGTGATAAATGAGTTTTTAGTGCCTGCAGTAAGAGATGTCTGAGTCCCTGTGGGTTACAGGTAGCACGTGTGGGTGGTGGTTGCGCTTGTGAGACCGAGATGGTGGTGTACGCTGCAAGGCCTGGGCAGAGGATTACACCCTTGTGCCCAGACCCGAAGAGATTAGAGACAACAGGGATGTTGCTGATCTTAGACCCATACCGTTATGTGTTAAATGTTTCCAAATAAAGTGCTTCACCTTCCTCTGCAGGTACCCTGACAGTGGAGCAGATCTACCAGGACAGGGATCAGTTTGCCAAGCTGGTGCGGGAGGTGGCAGCTCCCGACGTGGGTCGCATGGGTATCGAGATCCTGAGCTTCACCATCAAGGTACACCCAGACGTAGGGCACTGCGCTGCGGGGCACCCGGCAGCACTGTAGAAGCAGGACAACAGAGCCTGGCCTTGTCCCCTCTGCTGCAGCTGGCTGAAAGGCTCCGGCTGACAGCCTGCCCCAGCCCTCTGGGAGTTTCCATGACAGCCACTGCAGCATGTCCTGTATCCAGGCAGCTGGGCAAAGAGCACCCGCTTAACTGCCTCTGTAAACACAGCTCATGGCGAGAGCTGGCTGATAACCGAAGGCTCCAGGGAGTCAGGGGGAAGATGTTGGGAGAGCCCGCCTCTCCCTGTCATGCCTGTTTCTGTTTGGCAGCAGGCTGACATGGCTCCTTCTGATCCCGGCCTAACCGCACTAGTGTTTACTCAAGGGAGCAAGATGGAGTCGCTCGTGTGAAGTGATTGTGACTTATCCTCCCCTCTCCAGGATGTCTATGATAAAGTGGATTACCTGAGCTCCCTGGGAAAGACTCAGACTGCGGCTGTCCGAAGGGATGCAGACATTGGTGTGGCAGAAGCCGAGCGAGATGCTGGCATTCGGGTGAGTCTGAAGACGTGCTGGACTTCCCCAGAGCAGCCTGTTTTGCTCCAGCTGCACAGCCTGGAGCTCTGCTCTCTGTTTGCTCTCTGCAGGAGGCAGAGTGCAAGAAAGAAATGCTGGATGTCAAGTTCATGGCAGATACCAAAATAGCAGATTCCAGACGGGCTTTTGAATTGCAGAAGGCTGCCTTCAGTGAGGAGGTCAACATTAAGGTGAGAGGTATCTGACAGCCCACCGCTATTCCCTAGCTGGTTTGTGATGGTATTGGTAGTCGGGGGATTCGTCCGCTTCCTCCTCCTGCACGTGTTAGGAGAGCTGGAGAACCCACCTTTCTTGTCACAGTGTGAGCTCCTTATGTGATTCTTCTGTCTGCTACAGTTAGGTGGGACTAGGAGGAGGGGAAATGGTGAGGAGGGTCATCCAAGCTGAACCCAGAGCTGGTTGGGCTGAAGTGCTGCGGGAAGAGCCCATGGGGAAGGACGGCAAGGGCAGCTCTGAGGATTGGGATGTCGCCCCTGCGAGGAGGCTTGGGAGCAGGAGCCATGTCTGGTTTCAGGCCCTGCCAAGGGTCCTTATGTCTGTGCACAGGAGATCACAGCCAAGACCCCTCTTCTTATCTCTCTCCTGTTCAGACTGCAGAGGCCCAGCTGGCCTATGAGCTCCAGAGTGCCCGGGAGCAGCAGAAGATCCGCCAAGAGGAAATTGAAATTGAGGTGGTGCAGCGCAAGAAGCAGATCGACGTCGAAGAGAAGGAGATCATCCGGATGGAGAAGGAGCTGATAGCCACTGTGAAGCGGCCGGCCGAGGCCGAAGCCTACCGTATCCAGCAGATCGCCGAGGGCGAGAAGTGAGTGAGCCTGTGACCTGGGCCAGCCCCGAGCCCAGCAACACGCTGGGCTGGGCTGAGGTGGGAGCAAAGCAGAGCGGGTGCTGCGCTGAGACCCAGCTCATGGGCTCTCTACGGGGCAGGCTTGTGGCTGACAGAGGGAGGGAAGCAGTCCCGGGTACGCCGCAGGGATCTGGGCTGCTGGAGGGCTGGGTTTCCCTTTCCAGGGTGAAGCAAGTCCTCCTTGCTCAGGCGGAGGCAGAAAAGATCCGCAAGATCGGAGAAGCGGAGGCTTTTGTGATCGAGGCCATCGGGATGGCAGAGGCTGAGAGGATGAAGCTGAAGGCTGAAGCGCTCCAGCAGTACGGAGACGCTGCCCAGCTGGCTCTAGTGCTGGACGCACTGCCTGAGGTGAGGAGGGAGCAGCTTTCCCCTGCTCTGGGCAAGTGGTGGGGAGTTCTCAGGCTGGGCCAAGTCTCCTGGGGGCACAGCGAGACCCCATGTGCTGTGTGGGGACTTTGTCTAGCAGCCCCTTGACTCTCTGCTCATCCCACCCTCAGATTGCGGCCAAAGTGGCTGCTCCCCTCTCCAAAGTGGATGAGATTGTTATTCTCAGTGGAGAGAGCAGCAACACAACATCCGAGGTGACCCGTCTGCTGGCCGAGATCCCCGCCTCCGTGCGTGCCGTCACTGGCGTGGATCTCACAAAGGTGAGCGGGCACTCCAGCTGCTGGCAATTCCTGTGGCTCTTAGGGCACAGGGACTTGCCTGGAAACGGTCACACTCCCAGGGAACCTCTTCTTCCTCAGCCCTGCCCCACCACAGAGGGCAGGCAGCTCCCTGCCTCCCCCTCCTCCAGCCCTAACAGCTTCTCTCTTCCCCTCCGACAGATTCCCCTGATCCAGAAAGTCACCGGGGCCCAGGCGTGAGGCTGGCTAACCCAAACCTAGTGAAGATCACTCCCTCTTATGCACTCAGACATCAACTGCCTTCAACACGTGGGAATTCCTTTTATATCAAAGACAATTGGAGTTTTATTTTTAAGCTCTGGTGCCTTATTTTGTAGGGCCAGAAAGATGCATGTCCAGTCAGCTGCTCTTTTTATTACAAAGGGTGGGAGGGGATTTATTTTGTAACTAACCGTGTGTTGTATCAGGCTGGGGTTTGGATCTGATCCTCAGTTACGACGGGCAGCTTGTCTGGTGTTGCTTGTTCTCTGTCCTCGGGTGTCAGCCCAGATCTTGGAGCAGAGGCTCAGCGGGACACAGAGCTGTAGGCAGAGACCAGCCAGGACCCCCTCCCGCGGGCTCCCTGCCCCTCCTGGGTGCTGCCCAACCCCGGCCCCTGCCCACAAGCTGTTGTTGTGCCTGGCTTTCCCCGCCTGGTGTGTCTTGCCCACAGGGCGCCCCCAGTCCTAAGCAGTCCTGCCCAGGCTGGGCTTCCCCTCCTGGGAGGGTGACAATCAGGCACTCCTTGCTGCCTTCCCTCAGGGAAGTTTTTTCCTGGGATCTGGAGCCAGAGAGAGCTCAGGGGGGTGATGGAGCGGTAGTGGAGGGAGCCCAACCCAGCCCTGGTCTGAGCCAGGCTTAGCGAGGTCCCACCACCAGGAATGCCAAAAAGTAGCGCTGTGCCAAAGCCACCCTGTCCTCCCGGAGGGAGGTGAAACCACCGAGGCTGCCGTGGTACATTTTGACCCCCCCAGCTCCTCAAGTCAGAGGGAGGGGGGGACCGCTGGGGGGGACCGGATAGGGCGCTGCAGTGGGGACAGGCTCCTCCACCACCGTGGCCTGTACAGCTGGCTGGGGACCAGTGGTCCTGGGGCTGGTGCCGTGGCCCTGAGTGCTGGCCGGGGGCTGTCCCGAAGCCCATACCTCACTCAGTCCCCTGCCTCTTATGGCCAGTGGCTTTGCTACCCCGAGTGACAATGCGAAAGGGGTTGTCCCCTGTGTGTCCCGTACCCCCCACAGTGCCACCGCTGCCCTGCACTGGCCCGTGCCCCTTCCCCGCCTGTCTCGACGCCCGACGCCCGTGCTCAGTGTGGCTGCAGCAGCCAAACCCCCCGTGTGCAGTCAGCCCAGCGCTGCTGTGGGGTGGGGACCGG